ACATAGGAATTTGTTCATAGTTTTTTTTTAAACTATAGTCCGGCCTTCCAACGGTCTGAGGGACAGTGAACTGGCCCCCTGTTTAAAAAGTTTGAGGACCCCTGATCTATCCACTGAGCCAAACCAGCTAGGGCCCGACATCATTTCTGTGGGGTTCATCCGTATCATGGCCTGAGTTGTGGTTTGTAAATAACCCATGAGTAAAAGAAAAACAAAACAAAACACGTTTTGAATATATGACATACCGATGCTTTTGAGGTGCAGCTAATGCAATACTTAGAGGAAAATGTGTAGATTTAAGTGCATCATATCCAAAAGGAGAAGAAGGGCTGAAAATGGTTGATTTAAGCCTCCAATTTGAAAAACTTTAGAGCCCTGGCTGGTGTGTCTCAGTGGTTAGGCACCTTCCCGTGCACCAAAAGATTTGATTCCGGTCAGGGCACTTGTCCGGGCTTCAGGCTCCCTCTCTGGTAGAGGGTGTGCAGGAGGCAGCTGGTCGGTGTTCTGCTCTCACATCAATGTTTCTCTCTCTTTCCCCATCTCTCTTCCTCTCTCTCTAAAAAATGAATAAAAATAGCTCTAGCCAGTTTGGCTCAGTGGATAGAGCGTCAGCCTGTGGACTGAGAGGTCCTGGGTTCGATTCCAGTCAAGGGCACATGCCTGGGGTTGTGGGCTCGATCCCCAGTGGGGGGCGTGCAGGAGGCAGCCAATCAATGATTCTTTCTCATCATTGATGTTTCTGTCTCTCTCTGCCTCTCCCTTCTCCTCTGCAATCAATAAAAATACATTTAAAAATATATAAATAAAAAGCAATGAAAATAAAAAAAGAACCCTAGAAACAAAACAGCCAATCAAATCTAGGGAACAGAGAAGCAAGAAAATAAAACAGAAAAGGGCAGAAATTGATGAGGTAGATACATGTAGAGCGAAGAATATCCACTAAGACAAAAGTGGGTTTTTTTGCAAAAATTTCTGTTTAATTTTTAAACTTTACTTCGCTTTCTGGCTTCATTCATCTTATTTTTTTTAAATGTTCATACAGTAAAACTTATTTTGGGGGTGTGCAGCTCTACGGTTATAGAGTCATGTGACCATTTCCACAGTCAGGACACAGTGTGGGCCTCTGACCTTGAGGGCATCCATTTCTTTTGTGCCCCAGCCCCTAGCACTGATCTCTTCACCACCTCTCTCATCTTCTCTTTTCCAGGAGGCCATATAAATAGAATAATAAAATGCATAACCTTTTGAGACCGGCTTTTCATGCCACATAATATGTTATGGCAGTTCTAACGTTCGCCCTTTGGAACAAATCAGCTCATACCAATGTATATAAAGAAACAGTTAATAACCTTCCTACCTAGCTCCCACCCCTCTATTGGGGTAATTAGTCTTACACAATTTAGACTTTATCCCTTTATACCTTTATCTATGCTTATAAAATTCTATGCAATTATATTTCCAGCTATATGGTGTTTCTTTCTTATATTATACATATTACACTTTCTTTTATATATATATATATATATTTCTTTATTGATTTCAGAGAGGAAGGCAGAAGGAGAGAGAGAGAGATAGAAACATCAATGATGAGAGAGAATCACTGATTGGCTGCCCCCTGCACACCCCCTACTGGGGATCAAGCCCGAAACCCAGGCATGTGCCCTTGACCGGAATCGAACCTGGGACCTTTCAGTCCGCAGGCCGACGCTCTATCCACTGAGCCAAACCGGTTTCGGCCTTTCTTGTCTTTTTATAGGCATTTTTTGTATCCTGTCAATAGTAACCCTTTGAATATTAGATGTAAACTTTAAAAAAATATTTGTTTTTTATTGATTTCAGAGAGGGAGGGAGAGGGAGGGAGAGAGAGAGAGAGAAACATCAGTGATGAGAGAGAATCATTGGTTGGCTGCCTCCTGCATGCCCCCCCACTGGGGATCCAGCCTGCAACTCAGTGTGTGCGGTGACCAGGAATTGAATCATGACCTCCTTGTTCACAGGGCTCAAAAATTTCTTAACTCTGACATTTCCATGTGAATTTTAAAATTATCGTGTTCCGTTAAAAACGAAACAAAATGGAGCCTGGCTGGTGTGGCTCAGTGGTTGAGCATCGACCCAGGAGCCAAGAGGTCACTGGTTTGATTCCCAGTCAGGGCACATGCCCGGGTTGTGGGCTTGATCCCAGTAGGGGCCGTGCAGGGGGCTGCCAATCGATAATTTCCTCTCTCATTGATGTTTCGATCTCTCTATCCCTCTCACTTCCTCTCTCTCTAAAAATCAATAAAAAATATATTAAAGAATAAAATAAACGAAAACACTTCCAAATTCCTCCCACCCTCCTTCTTTCCCCAAACTGCATTTAATTCCTTTGTGACTTTGTGACAGGTTAACATGGCACTAGTTTTTCCATTTATTCAGGCCTTGTCCTTACATAATTTTTTGGGGTCAATTTCTTCGTAAAGGTCTAGTATTTTTCTGGATGAATTAATTCCCAGGTATTCTATACTTTAAAAAAAAATCAAAACGGGAATAGGAGACACGTTTTGAGAAAAGTTCTTGATTTTTGTTTCTTTTTTCTTTTTTTTTTAAAATGTATTTTATTGATTTTTTACAGAGAGGAAGGGAGAGGGAGAGAGAGTTAGAAACATCGATGAGAGAGAAACATCGATCAGCTGCCTCCTGCACCCCCCCTGCTGGGGATGTGCCCGCAACCAAGGTACGTGCCCTTGACCGGAATCGAACCTGGGACCCCTGAGTCCGCAGGCCGACGCTCTATCCACTGAGCCAAACCGGCCAGGGCTGTTTATTTTTCTTATATCAGTTCTCTTATCAAATTCTCTTATTAATATTCACTTATATTGAGGGGAGTCTCTACAACTGTCTGAGACAATAAATCGTATTTCCTCCAAATAAATTCCTTGTCTCTTCCAGCGTAAAAAAAAATACCATTTTCATTATTTTATTCTTTGACACCATTATGCCCGGATGAGTGTGAAGAAGAATAATGCGGTCTCATTTCTTCCTGTAATGGGAACAGATCTTGTGTGACTTCAATATGTGGCTTTGGTAGATATCTTTATTACGTTTGGATCGTCCTTTCTTTTCTTTATTTCCTGCATTTCCTGTTTGAACCTTCATCTTCTCCTGGCTCCTGATCTTCAGCCACCACAAAACTGCCGCTAACAAACGCCGGCCTCGCTCAGGAAGCCAGGAGTCCGGGCCCGGCCCCTCCTTCCTCGGGGAGCTGAGCATTCCTGTCTTCAAACCCGGGCCCCTCCCCAGGGGCTCAAAGACAGGACAACTCCCATGAGCCTCAGGGGCAGAGGACTGGGCAGAAGCCAGCCTCTGCCTCAGGGACTCCTGGCAAATGTCCACCGTCCCTGGCAAAGGCGGACGGAGGTGACCACACCCTGGCTCTCTGCTCCCCCCAGGGACTGGCATTGACATCCCTGTCCTCCTCCTCCTCATTGATGGGAACGAGAAGATGCTGAAGGTACAGTCAAGGGCCCAGACGCCTGGGGGTACGGGGCTGGGTGGGCGCGGGCCCTGGGTTTCAGGGGAGGAGGGAGCGGGGCCCTGTACTTCAGGTGGGGTGAATCCCTTCATCCCTCCCTTCCCTGACCTAACTCCCCCCTTTATCTTGTAGCGGATAGAGAATGCCACCCAGGCCCAGCTCCCCTGCCTCCTGGTGGCCGGGTCTGGGGGCGCTGCGGACTGCCTGGCGGAGATCCTGGAAGACACTCTCGCTCCAGGGAGAGGAGGGGGCAGACAAGGGGATGCCCGAGATCGGATTAGGCGTTTCTTCCCCAAAGGGGACCCTGAAGTCCTGCAGGCCCAGGTATGACATGGAGGGCCCGATCCTGAGATGGGAGGGAGA